CCTGTTTGGCGAGGTTCGCTTGTTTGGCGAACTCGAGGTCTTGCCTGCCGTTCATTCAAGCGAAGTTCACCTGTATGGCGAGGTTCTCCTACTTGAGCTTGCGGGCGACGTTCGCCTGTTTGGCGAACTGCCGCTTTACATTTCTAGCGAAGGTTTGCTTGTGGGCGAAGTTGGTCCGTCAGGCGAGCCTAGTGAAGTTCTCTTGATTGGGAAGGTTTGCCTAATTGGTGACCTTCGCCGATAGTACGAAGTTCGCCAGATCTTCTCACTTCGTCAGATTCGTGCATTTTGCCAGATCTGCGCAGTTCGCCAAAATTAGGAACTTCGCGTTTGTTCTTTAGGCCTGAATAGTAATTCAAGCCTTCTAAGGAGATTAGGGCACGTTCTTTATGGCGAACGAAGGCTTATTGATGCCTTTGTTTGGCTCTCTTTGAGAGAGGAGCGTTCTCATCGACGGTGAAGGCATGTTCTGTGCCGACAGGGACATGAGCATTCTTGGCCTTTCGGCTTGCATCAACTGTTTTAGGGGGAATGGAACCCCTAATATTTGCTCGAGTAAAGCTCTCAGGCATGCTAGCCTTAGTTTGTTAGGGCTGGGTCACACGCTAGCCTTTGCGATATTTTCATGATGTTTTTCCATCCGATGAAGCCGAAGACAAGTACTCTTTGTACTTTGCTTGATCGAACTCAATAACGAGGGGCTCAACGGTAGTCCCTACAACAACCTCGTCGAACTGCGCATCACCATCTCGTTATAAAAAGTGGTTTCTCCCACTGTGGTCACTATCTTCTGTTTGTCGTAAAATGAGATCTCATTCCTATTCATATGAAGGAGAAACTTGAGAGAATGTAATATAGTTTTCTGAGATAGTTAGGTTCCAGACTTTGTTTGGATACTTGATGTACTTCACTTTTTCATATTTTTGGTAGATGAATAAAATTTTTCATTGACCAAAAAAAATGAGATCTCAAATTTTGTATTAGTTGAATTGTTTTTTACAAATTGAAATCGCTTTTACATAGAAGCAGAGGGAATTGATTCGACCTCTCTTTGTTTAATGTGGGTTCTTTGTGGTGATAGGATGCTTCTCCTTGTGTTGAGTTTGCTTCCCTTTGACGATTCGAACAAGGTTGCAGGCAAACTTCAGCGCATGGTAGAAGTTTGGTTGGATGAGTTCGAAGGCCGAACAAGTGCTTGATTGCTTGTAGGCCGAGTATGTCGAGTTCTCAAAGTTCAGTTTTCTTCTCCTGAGGATTCAAACAAGACTGCCAATAAGTTTTGTCACATAGTAGAAGCATTATCAGAGTTTGAATACCCGAGCTAGGATATTTGAGAGCCGAGTGCACAAGATGCTAGGTTCATCTCCTTGTCCCTCTTTTCTCTCTTTTCTGCCCCCTCCTTCTTTCTTGTAGCCACCAGTGGCTTTTTATAGAGGAGAATGGCTAGTAACCACCCCCTCAAAAAGTGGAAAGTGGGCACAACCACTTCCACATTTTAAGCTTTAGTGGCTGGCTTGGTCAAGCTATGTAGGCGAGCTTGACAATTCAGGCAAGCTTGGGCTGGCTTACAGGCAAAGTTGGCGAGCCTGACGAGCTTGCAAGCAAGCTTGGCACATACAGGAGAGCTTGGAACATACAGGAAAGCTTGGCACATGCAGGCAAGCTTGGAATATGCAGGCGAGCATGGCACATGCATGCAAGGTTGGAGTATGCGGGCAAACCTCGTAGACGAAGTTATCAAGCGAGCTTCAAGCATTCGGGCGAGCTTGGCTCATGCAGGCGAGGTTAGCAAGTTAAGCGTTCAGGTGAGCTTAACTTCGTTCAGGCAAAGCTTAATGTTTAGGCGAACTTGGTCTTGTCCGCAGAGTCAAGTATTCAGGTGAACTTGGCTTTGCTTATTTGATTCAGGCGAAGTCACACTATCAGGCGGACTTGCCTTGAATGTTTAGGTGAACGAGTAGACTTGGCTTGGTTCAGGCGAACCCTAGTCTTGCAAGCGAAGTTCAGGCGTCGAGGAACATAACTTGCTGCGAAGAACAGGTCATAACTTTCAAACCGTAAGACAGAATTAGACGAATTATATATAAAAATAGACTATCTCGATGAGACGGCGTCAACCAAACTGATCAAAGTTCGGTTTGATATCGCCTGTTTCACCAAATTCCCTCCGGTTTGAGAGATATCAGCGTTTTTGTTCATTTTTTACTATTTTTGGTAATGTTCTTGTAGGCGAACTTTTGAATTTCTCTGTTAGAGATAAAAGGCAATTTTATTTGCCTACAGTTGCGCATTTTTCTACTAGTGTCTAGTTATAGTGAAAAAGGCCATTTGTGAGAAGGAAAAGTGAACGTAGGATTTTGACCCGAAACACTATAATAATTTCATGTGTTTTTATGTTGGTTGCTTATAATTATTTACTTATTTTATTTCTGCTACTTATTTAGAGTTGGTTGAAAAATTATAGTAATCATATTCACCCCCTCTAGGCTTGCATCCTAATTCTAACAAGTGGTATCAGAGTTTCGTTACCCACACTTAGATATCACAACTTAGGGTAGAGATGTTAAACATTACCATCGCTTTAGCCTTTACTGAAGGACACACCATCAAAAAATTAAACTAGTTTCATACAATTGTAGAATTCCTACAAGAATTACATCCACATCTTAGAAAATAATAATAAAGAAATAAAATTTATGCCAGAGTGAATAAAAGGAATAGAATGAAAATAAAAAGTGATTCCCAAGAGGGTTCTAGCCTCTAGGAGAATAAAAGGAAAAGAATGAAAATAAAAACTAATTTCGAAGAGGGTTCTAGCCTCTTGGAGAATAAAAGAAAAATAATGAATAAAAACTAATTACAAAGAGAGTTTTAGCCTCTTGAAAATAATGTAAGAAAATAAATTCTAGACTATGAAAGAAAATAAATCTACACTAAAAAATAAAAAGATGAAAGTAAATCTACTCTACAATGCATCAAAATAAATCTAAAACAAGAGGGTTCTAGCCCCTCGAATATCTAAAATAAGAAAATAAAAGATATAAGAGAAAATTTACATCGCAAGAGGGTTCTAGCCTCTTGAAAGCAAACATTCATATTTATCTTTATCTTCATTTTTATCATCAAACAAAGAGAAGAAATGAAAAATATGAAGAGGTGAAAAATTCTTTTATTAATTGCAATAAAGTAATAATTTTGGATGATGTTCTCAATTAAAAGTAACGCTCCTCTCCAAAATAGAGTTATTACAAAAAATTTACACTCAAACCCCTCACCTCCTACCCCTATTTATAGCCTACAGGAAGTAATAAGAACCATTAAATTTTACTTGGGCGCCAAGGATTAAATATTAGCCATAAAATAAGTTTGTTACGAACCAATTAGTTGGTCAATAGATTGACCAATCAGTTGACCAACTAATTAGAATTTTAAAATTCTAAAAATGCAGATAGCTCCGTCTCGTCGAGATAGGCGATTTTCATATATTATATGTTAAATTTCGCCTTCTGGATTGGGAGATATCATCGTTTCTCTGTGGCTAATCATCTTGAGCATGATTTCAACTTGATTTTTTTTAATATTGGATCCTTACTTCTTCGGCTTCTATAGATCACTTGGCTTGATCCCAGGCTTTAATAAAAGGTTAAAAAATGAGGAAATTTGAGTTCTCTTTCAACTCTTATTCATTAATTCTTCATTAATATGTAAATTAAGATAAAACATGTTATTAGTGACATATTTATTTAAATAAGATAAATAATGAGAGTATAAAAATATAATAAAAATATGATTATCAATAGTATAGTAAAAATCTAGGAATTACATATCCCTAAAAATCAGTAATTCGTAGAATACACCCTAAAAGTTTTAACAATTATAAAAAACACCCTAAAAATTTATGAAAACACATCATAAAAAGATTAAAAAATAAAAACATTTACAAAAATGCCTATTTTTATGCTTTGATCTTTTAGGTTATTTTTTGTAAATTTTAAATTTTGAGGGTGTTTTTTACAATTTTTAAAGTTTCAGGGTCTTCTCTTCAAATTCCAAAACATTTGGGGGTTTAATACTAATTTCTAGATTTGTAGTGTGCTTTTGAAATTTCTAGGGTATTTTTTATAAATTTTAAATTTAAGGGTGTTCTCTACAATTTAGAACTTTTAAGTTGTTTCGGAAAACTTTTTTGCAGAATTGTTTTCTTCAACCTCATGCTGATAAAGAATCTGGCGAGAAATGGTAAAATGTGGGATTTTAACGTTTATTAGGGGCCCCATATAACTATGTCTATATTTGCGAGATTGGATTTGTAGACAAATATACAAAATTACTTGCGTTTATAGGCAATTTTTTCTGATTTCTTTCCTTTATTTTCAAAAGAAAAGGATAAGACTCCACTACTCAGAGCCACACCCAGCAACTATTAATAATGGTTGTACATATACAGTCTGTGCTTCCGACTCCAAAAAGCATACACGAAAGTAGGATTTATAGGCACCCATAAACTACTCGACAGTGAACTTGTTGTTTTTTGATATGACCATTTACAAAACCTAAAAAATAAACCTTTTTTTTAAAATATCAAAAAAAAAATTTGAAATTTCATTTTTTTTCCTAAACTGCCGCCGCCGTCGTCGCCGCCCGCGCGCCGCCCCACCGCGGGCGTCGACCGCTCGCCGCCAGCCGTCCACGCCTGCCGCACCAAAGCACTTGCCGCCGCCCCCACGCCCCACCGACAATCATCGTCCACCCGCGGCCGCTGTTGCCGCTGTATAAATAGTCAAACTAGTTTGACCAATAACTTTCAAAATGTTGTTTTCAAAACACTTCTAAAAAAATACAACAAAAAATCACTTTGATTATCAAACACACATGAACGCGTTTGATTGTTTAAAATTAACCAAACGCGTTTGATTGTTTAAAAAAAAAAAGAAACCGCAAAAACGCTAACGTGAGTAAAGCTTTGGGTATTAAAGGCAAAAACTTTGTAGCCACGTGCTTGCGTTTCCGCGCTTGTTAGCCGTACTTTCGCTACTAATAACTCTCCTCACCTTTTGCCTCCCCTTTCGCTCCGTTCTCCGACGCTTCCTCCCCTTCCTCCGATCGCTCCGCTGAAACAAAATCATGGGGGATGAAGGGCCTTGCGCCGGCCTCAGAGCCCAGATCACAGAGCTTGAATGCAAATTGTCACAGTCGGAGCTCTCAAACTTTGTAGCCAGCCAAGAAATTGAAAACCTCAGGAGGGTTTCTCTCATGCACAGGGAAACCCTGGCTCGGCTACAGGAAGACAACAAGATCCTCAGAGAGAGAGAGCTCAGGGATCAAGAAACCATCGAGGGTTTGTTGGGTGAAATCGAGAAGAAAGAAAGAGATTCGAGGGAGAAGCTTCTGGAGCTTGAGCGCGAGAAGAAGAGGGCGCAAGATGAGGCCTTTGAGTGGAAGAATAATCATTCTGGGGCGTCGAAGTTCATCGATGAGATTGTTGCGGGGTTTGAGAGGAAAGAGAGGGAGTTTCGAGAGATGGTTCTGATGGTCGCAGGGCAGAAGAAGGAGGGCATCGAGTCTCAGGCTCTGAGGGGTTCTGAAGAGAATTGTGCTCTCGACGGAAAAGGGAAAGGAGAGGAAATTTTTCATGTTAAGGAGAAAGAGAAGGGGCATGGAAGTGAGACTGATTATGATGACGAGGTTCCTCTTAGCCATTTTGCGAGGAAGAGACTTGCAGGTGGTTCTCATTCTTCAAAACAATGTCTTGTTTCCCCGAAGCCGTGGGAATTTGCGAGCAATGGAGGAAAAAGAACCTCTTCTGGTGAGGAAAATGTGCGAATTCCATCAGGTTCAGCAATGGGAGAACAAAAGGTCGGCAAAGGGACCTCTGCCCAAGTTTTTGGTTTATTTTTTTTAACCTTTTTTAATGCGCTGAATTTTATTTAGTTCTGTGGATGTTGGTGAACTTTCCGCAGGAGAAAAATGTATAGAGAGAGAAATTAGAGGATAAAATTGTAGGCTATTTTCATTTTAGGGCGTTTTAATATGCTTTGGAATTAGGGTTCAAAGGAAAATATTGAAAAGGCCGTCTTTGTTTTTACAGGAGAGGCAAAAAGTTCCAAGGCCGAGGAAAAAACCTAAACTGACAGATCTGCATTGCTCGGCATCAGCAAGAAATCCTGGTTCTGCTGGCTTCAGTGGCGTATGTAGTCTATCTTTTTGTTATTATCTCAAGAGAATGAGACATAATACTAACTTAATGAATGGTAGTGGTATTTGTAGCTTGTCTACTTGAGTGTTCTAGTAGTTTGGGACATATTCTCATATATATTTATATTTATATACATGACTGCTAAAAGGTGGTCGAAATGTCTGTCTAGCCTTATACTTGGACAAAGTTTTTTCTAGTACCTGAAAACAACTGTCGATTAATCGAATTTTTCTAGTGAGGTTTAAGATTACTCTTCACAAATCACCGAGATTTTCCTCTGAAAATCTCGTGCTCAAAGTCGCTATGGAGAAGACGCTCTCAAAGCCACCGCCAAGCAAAAAAATCGCCTCGAGAATCTCTCAACCAATTTTTCGTGCACAGGGTTCTCTTTTATAGGGGAACCCTAGCGATAGGCTGTCGTGACCTGTCAACGACCTCGCCTGCCGCCTTCAACTCGGCCTAAAGCATTGCCATGCGTCGACTCGACCTTCGCCTGTAGCTCGAGCTTGCCTGCGCTCGACTCAACCTCGCTTCATGCAACTCAACTCGACCTCGCAGCTCAAGCTGGAAGGCTCGCCTGAAGGACCGCCTTGCCTGCGTCGTCGACACTCACCGGAAGGTTTGGGTTGCTTACAACTTAAGGACCAACAATATATATATATTATATATATATATATATATATATATATATATAATAGTTATATATATATATATATTATATATATATATATATATATTATATATATATGAGAAATATGAGTATGCTTGGTAACCAAGCACAAATTTTTATGCTTGGCTAGTGATGTTGTCACATCCCATACCACCTCATTAACCATGTGATGTGGCTCCCAGGCCATTTGAATGAGTGAAGAGAGAATGTGACACTCACTACCTAAGCATAAACTTTTTGTGGCTTGGGTACCGAAGATACCCATATTTCTCTCTCTCTCTCTCTCATCTATATGATATATATATATATTATATATATATATATATATATATAGTTGTAAGATTAGGGTTAGTTTCTCTCATTGAGACACCCCTCTTTTATATTAATGTATTCTTACAACTAGGTCCTTACAATATTGACTAATTCACTTAGTATCTAAATAACTCAATACTCCCCCTCAAGATGGGCGATAGATATCAATCATCCCTATCTTGTTACAAAAGATATCATACTCTCTAGAACCTAATCCTTTTGTTAAACAATCAGCTAACTGCTCTTCTGATTTCACATAGCTCAAAGTCAGAACTCCTCTATTCAGTTGCTCCTTGATAAAGAACCGATCAATCTCCACATGTTTGGTGCGATCATGCTGAACTGGATTGTTTGCAATATTAATCGCCGATTTGTTGTCACACCAAAGTTGTAAGGAGTCTCTTCTAAACAAGCGCAGCTCAGATAATATGTTTTTTACCCACATCAACTCGCACAGACTAATTGCCATAGCTCTGTACTCGGCATCAGCTGTAGACCTAGCCACCACATCTTGCTTCTTGCTACGCCAAGATACGAGATTGCCTCCAACAAATACACAGTAGCCTGTAGTAGATCTACGATCATCCATACAACTCGCTCAATCAGCATCACAATAGCCTTCAATTCTCAAATGTCTAAAACTCCTGAACCATAACCCCTTTCCTGGGCTTCCTTTAATATACCTAAGAATTCTGCGAACTGCCTTCATATGCTGCTCTCTGGGATCATGCATATATCTACTCACCACACTCACTGCATGAGTAATATCAGGTCTCGTATGGCATAAATATATAAGTCGTTCAACCAATCTTTGATATTGCTCTTTACTCACAGGGTCCCCACCCTCGGCACTCATCTTATGATTCTGCTCAATAGGAGTAGATGCAACTCTGCACCCCAACATCCCTGTCTCTGAGAGAAGATCCAGAGCATACTTTCGCTGAGAGAGCACTATATCCTTTCGCAACCTTGCAATTTCAATTCCGAGAAAGTACTTCAACTGCCCCAGATCTTTAACTTCAAATTCCTCTCCTAATTTCTTCTTCAACAGTAGGATTTCCTCAGCGCCATCTCCAGTGATTACAATATCATCAACATAGACCGTCAAGATAGTGATACGAGTTTTGGAGTGCCTGTAAAACACAGTATGATCATCATTGCACTGCTTGTACCCCATACCACAAACTGCCAACCTGAATCTATCAAACCATGCCCTCGGAGACTGTTGTAACCCATACAAAGACTTCTTCAACTTGCACACCTTCCCAGCTACTTGAGAAGTAGTGAAGCCTGGTGGAATCTCCATATATACCTCCTCTTGAAGATCTCCATGTAAAAAGGCATTCTTGACATCTAGCTGATGTAGTGGCCAATTAAAGTTGGCAGCACATGACACCAACACTCTAACAGTACTCATCTTTGCTACTGGAGCAAATGTCTCGTCATAGTCAATACCATATGTTTGGCTGTAGCCTTTAGCAATCAATCTGGCCTTGTATCTGTCGATCTTGCCCTCTGGAGTTAGCTTAACCGTATACACCCACTTACATCCAACAGCACGCTTCCCAGCTGACAAAGGTACCAACTCCCATGTGTCATTCTTCTTCAAGGCCTGGAGTTCCTCGTGCATGGCATTCAACCACCTAGGATCTTGCTTAGCTACCTGCCAGTTGTTAGGTACAGACACTGAATGCAACGATGCAATGAATAACTTATATGCAGGTGGAATGAATGCATATGAAATGTAATTCGTAATATCAGTATCCCAATTACCAAACTTAGCTCGAGGTTTTCCAGCATTGAGTCTAGAGGTTCTGCGGGGCAAGACAGGAGTATCAGAGGAATTAGGGAAGGAATCGTTACCTATCGACTCAGGTGGAGGAGAAGAGCAAGGCACTGGAGAGGAAGAGGAAGGCACTAGAGAGGAGGGACTTGGGTCATCAACATTTGTGGGTACTGACACAGGCACGGGAGGCGGCTCATGCTGCTGTTTCTGTCTCCTCGTGTATACTCTCAGCTCCCCCTGACTTTGACTACCAACTCCTAAGTCACCACCACTACTCGGCGATGTACCATCACTACTCCGTGACTCAATAGGACATGGAATCATCCCGACCACAATATCATTCTCATTCTCCCCCTCTCTACTAGCATCAGTAGAGCCATCTCCAAACAAGGAACTCAATTCCGTCTTCTCCTCATAAAAAGGTTCAAACTCCCGAAAAGTCACATCCATACTAACAAACAGCCTTCTTTCAGTGGGACACCAACACTTGTATCCTTTTTGACTTGATGAGTAGCCAACAAAGATACATTTAACTGCTTGCGGATCCAGTTTACTCACCATCAACCTGTGATCTCTCACATAACATGTGCATCCAAACACTCTTGGTGGAACAACAAAAACATTCGAGCCCAAAAGCATCTCACATGGTGTCTTCATCCCTAATACTCTTGATGGCATCCTGTTGATCAAATAAGCTGCTGTCATAACAGCCTCACTCCATAAAAACTTAGGCACATTCATTGTCAACATCAATGAGCGTGTCACTTCCAATAGATGCCTGTTCTTACGCTCAGCCATCCCATTCTGAGCAGGGGTGTCTGGACAGGTGGTTTGATGAATAATTCCCTGATTAGAGATGAAAGCTGCAAACTCCTTATTGACATACTCAGTCTCATTATCTGTTCGAAGAATCTTCACCTGCACTCCAAACGGTGTCTTCACATAGGCCGAGAAATCTTGAAAACATTTGTAAACCTCTGATTTCTGCTTCATCATGTATATCCAGGTCATACGTGAATAACAATCAATGAAAGTAACAAACCATCTAAAACCACTGATAGAGGTAGTAGGACATGGTCCCCAAACACCTGCACTCCAAATTGTGTCTTCACATAAGCCGAGAAATCTTGAAAATATTTGTAAACCTCTGATTTCTGCTTCATCATGTATATCCAGGTCATACGTGAATAACAATCAATGAAAGTAACAAACCATCTAAAACCACTGATAGAGATAGTAGGACATAGTCCTCAAACATCAGAATGGACAAGTACAAATGGTTCACAACTTCGAAGACCAATCATTCTATAAGTAGAACGAGTATGTTTTCCAAGTTCACATGCATTACAAAATAACTCTTTTCTATCCACTTTCTTCATTAACTCAGGTTCTAATCTATTTAAACTCTCAAAAGATAAATGCCCTAACCGGCAATGTTGAAGCATCGCTTCTGCCTCTGGCCCTCCGCTAACAGTAGCAGCAATCATTGCTGTCTCCCTGTCCAAATACCAAAGACCATCACGTCTGATACCAGTCCCAATCCTCCTCCCCGTTTCCTTCTCTTGAAAGACACACAAATCTCGATCAAATAACACGGTGCAATTTAATTGATCAATGAGAGAGCTAACTGAGAGTAAGTTAACTGGAAATGAAGGAACATGCAATACAGATGACAAGGTAACAGATGAAGTGCAATGGACCGAGCCAGTACCCCTTGTTTTCGCCAAAAGTCGAATTTGTTGTCGAATTCATTATATCTTCGGTCGATTACAATAAATTCAAGGAACATGCAATACTGATGACAAGGTAACAGATGAAGTGCAATGGACCGAGCCAGTACCCCTGATAGGTTGGAATGTCCCATCAGCAGTCTGAACTGTCTCAAGATGCATATGCTTACTCGGATAATATAATACAAACTCACTAGATGTTCCTGTGACATGTCTAGATGCACCTGAGTCTATGATCCAATCAACATGAGTTTTAGTGGATGCAAGTGCCTGAACCTATGTACCTTTGTTCGCATGAGCATAACCAATAAAGTTACCAAAACATGTAGTGGTAGCCAGATCCTGGGTGACTTGTCCCTTGCCCTTCGAACTCTCAGCCTGGAGCTTGAACAGACGTAGTTCCTCCAGCTCTGTTATTTCAGCTCCAGTCATCCCAGTAGTAGTCTGAGACTCATCTGTCACAGCTAGGTGAGCAACTCTTTGGCCTACACGCCCCCTGCCTCCTCGACCTGCACGGCCACCAGTCTGACCACGTTCACCCCTGTTCCTTTCTCTGGGTGGCTTAGGACACATCTGTCTCAGATGCCCTACCTCTCCGCAGTTGAAGCACTGTCTAGTCTCCCCTTTGAATCCAGTGTTATCCGGGTTGGATACCACCAGTGCAGACTTCCCCCCTGGAAGTCCACCTATCCCAGACTGTAGCCTGATACGGCTCTCCTCATGTATCATGGCCGAGACTGCCTTCTCCAGTGGTGGGATCTTCGTCTGGGCTAGTAACAATACCGTCCTCTGCTCATACGCTGGAGCCAAACCTCGGAGAAACAACATGGTCCTCTTCTGCAAAGAGGCCTCGCGCTCCTTGCACTCCGGGTCCTTGCAGCTCGCTAGGGGCGAGAAGTGATCGTGATCGAGCCACAAGCGCTCTAGCTCTGTGGCGTACTCCTGTACAGTCCTCTCTCCCTGGACTATAGCGCTGATCTCCTTCTCGATCTGGAATACCCTCAGGTTATTCAACTTCTGGATGATCTCCTCCATCGGATTTTTTTCAGTCATCGTCATCGATCCAACTTATATTCTTGTGGTGCGCAACCAAAAAATCCGGCAGCACTTCGACAGCACAACAAGAGAGATAGATCAATAATAATTCCTGTTTTACCAAGGAAACAAGAACCAAAAACAAGATATCTCAACAAAGTAAGATATCAGCTCTTCTCTCATCAGTTCTAGGACTGACTTGTCGAGGGAACCTAAATAAACTATTACAAATCAAGAACCTCTCCTTTTTTTTTATAATCATCTGATACATATTACAAATCCATTTTTCCTCCTTTTTCTTTTCTTTTCTTTTCTTTTTTTTCTTTCCCCTTTTTTTTTGACAGACGTTAATCAACAGAAACCAATCAAATCACTAAGCCATTTTCATCATCGTTCAAAGAACTGCGCTCCCCATTTTCTTCTCTTTTTTTTCTTCTTCTCTTGGATCTGATCAGCAACACTCCCTGCAGATCAAAGAACCAAGCTCCGAACCGTGATTCCTCCAGCTCTCGCCATCGGACTCTCCCCCGTAGCCGCGATCACATCACCGACTTGCTGCTCCTCCATCGACTCCGGCCTCCTCTGCATCCGACTGTCTCCTCCTTCCTTACAGTCGTCGTGGTCGCAGCCTCTTGCCCTACCGTCGTCGTGGTCGCACCATACCCGCCGCCGGTCACGTCACCGACGCCTTGCTCCTCCGTCGACGCTTCCTTACAAGAGAACTCCACAGCAGGCCTCCTACTCGTTGATGATCTTCGGAGGCCCTCTGGTGAAGACGAAGCCCGATGATGAAGACCAAAGCCCTCAGATTTGTTCGGGTTGGATTTCGTCGGGTTGAAGAGGGGGCGGGGTTGGATTTCGTCGGGTTGAAGAGGGAGGCGGCTAGGTTAGGGCTTTGATACCATGTTGTAAGATTAGGGTTAGTTTCTCTCATTGAGAGACCCCTCTTTTATATTAATGCATTCTTACAACTAGGATATATATATATATATCCTTTTCTTTGAGAAATATGCATGGGAAATTTATTACATCAACAATGTTATCATGTGGAACATTATTTCTGCAGTCATACTTTCAAAATCTCTCCTTTTTTCTTTCTCTAATCGTTTCCAATCCCACTTTAGATTTCTGGACAAACGCCTCCAGGAGATCTCTGTAGAATCCTGTGGGTTGTTATTTCTTCTATAGTTTTTCAAATGCCTGACTGCTTGACCAGACATCGCACAAATATCTGAGTGAGAAATCCAGTTTGAATTTGAAATGTTTGAAGGCTGATTTCTAGCGATATTTGGGAAACTAGTACTGTCGGAAGTAGGGTTTTTCTATCCTTGTATAATTCTATGAATACCTATCAGATGAGAGTTTAGGCATAACATTGAGATCAACCAATTAAAGGGGATCTCTTCTGATTGTGAGTCTCTCCCTTATTCTCTATTCTCTCTTTTATGTCCTATTTTTTCTCAATAATAAGAGGATGTCATCCGAGGATATAAGATTTATTCTGAAGGATTTTGGGAAACTTATTCTCACGGACTTAAAATTTCTTCATCTTGTTGAATTATATAAGTATCTGTGAGATGAGATTTTAGGTATAACTTTGGATTTACTTTGAGATCAACCAACAAAGGCGATCTCTTCTGATTGTACGTCTCCTCTCTTCTCTCTGTGTTCTATGCTCTCTTGATAATGGATGTTGTCTGAGAGCTCCTTAAATTTGTTTGACTGCAATTGTCATCATATTATTATGTATCTTTGCTTTGATTTTTGATGTGTATGTTTGTGTTTCAGTAACGAATAAGAAGAGAAAATTTGTCTGGGTTTACTCTGTAAAGACAGATCTCATAGTTAATCTGGCTTCTCTGAGACATTTACATCTTTTTATGCTTGTCTATGATATAATGTTTTTATGTCTGAGGTTTCTTTTCTCAAAGTTCGTTGCTAAATGAAAGCTTGCTTGCTGAAATTCTCACAGGTTCTTGATGGCGTAATTCGAAGATACCGCAAAAGGTATTAGTTAATATCTAGAAAATTTATTCAATTATCTAATTTAATGGGTTGCATGTGTTGTGTCTTTTTCCTTCCAGCATGGGTGATCGTCATTCTATCAGGGACTTTAATAACCAAAAATGTCGGGCATATACTGGACGAACTCCATCTCCTGAACAACGGGAAAATGCAGTAAAGAGAGCTCTAACATTTTGCAAAAGTTTGAGGTCTTGCAACCCCTCATTCATTAGATCAATGGCCATGTCACATGTCTCTGGTGGTTTTTGGTTTGTAAGTTACTGATAACTGAAACAAGTTATTACATTTGTAACCAACAAATTCAGACACTTAAATTTGAAGTTTCTGTTGTTGTTCTTAGTGTCTTCCTGCGAACTTCTGCAAGGAGTACCTCCCTGCTAATGATCTGAAAATGATATTAGTAGATGAGAGGGGTTTCGAGTATGTGGTCAACTACTTTGGCAGTAAAACTGCTTTTAGTGGTGGATGGCGAGGTTTCGCTTTGGCTCATAAATTGGAATTTGGTGACACGTTAATATTTGAATTACATGAGCCAGCAAGATTTAAGGTACAACTATCTTTTGCATACAACTGTTCATTGTACTTCACATAACAATCATCCTTACTTATTCATGATAGTCATCAACTGATTTGCATTTGTAATCCTCTGTTTATTGTCTTTTGATTGATTTCCATATACCATCCTAATAATTCCTTCTCTTTCATTGATGTTTTTTGGGGTTATAAAATTTTAAATTTATACTTCAACTCCCACGAGCGCGCATATCCGGCCTTCTTTATTTTTCTTGTGCAAAATGAAGTAACGGTGCCACAGGTGCATCAATGGCTGTGGTG